TCCATATATAGAAATCCACAATCAAAATCCAATTAAAGAGGTGAATCTTGTAGAGAACTTGCCTAAATTTATGAGGCTGTAGTTTTCAAAAGTAGTAAAATATGAAAAGAATCATATCTCTTTAATCTGAAATCACCTTGAGCTTAAATTCTCACCAAACATCGGTCTCGGCGTCTTTCATAATAATCTACTAGCAGATCATCAAATAGTAGCTAAATTTGAGCACAATGATGAAGTATAGAAATAGGTTTGCAATTTTTTTAAAAAATAAAAAACTTAAACTTAAAATGAGTGAAACTTAGTGAATGGACGATGGTTTTTACCCAAATTTATTGTAGAATGACTATGGTTCATTTTTGCACAATTTCACGAGAGAAATTTGGGCAGAAATAGAGGGAAAAAAATGTCTAATTTGATGGTAAATGAAAAAGGAAACCTCCTCAAGGGCAAACCATTGAAAATTCCGAGGTTTAGGCATCATTTTTAATAATTTTCAGCTTTGACCCGAATTTATTTTTAATAATCCACATCCTTTAAGCCATATTTTTATTTTCCACCTACCAACTTTTAGTATTCCACCCATATTTTCCTATGTCTATAAAAATCCTCTCAACCTCATTTAGGATTGAAAAATTAAGCTTAACCTAGAGAGAGAAACCTTAGCCCAAGAGAGAGAAAATTTGAACTTTCCAAATCACCCCTGCATCTATCCCATAGTTTCCAAACTATCCCTCAACTCTATCAAAATACCTTTATAAATTGGAAAATCCCCAAGAATTCCCATAAATCATAGAATACCAAAATATAAAAAATGCCTTCAGAAGTTCCCAATTTGGAGTGGCGAGCGATTGGCTCCTAGCCATTACTTCGGTTGGGCTTCAGGCCCTTCAGACTTCAATCATAGATCCACCCTTGGGGGACAGTAAGTCTACCCCTTTTACGCACATCTTCAAAGAGACTTCGTGCAATGGTGATGCTGCTAAAGTTTTGTCAACCTAGTCTTGAGAGGGGCTGGCCCAAGGTTCATACAAGGCCATGAGAGGGGGTGGCCCAAGGTTCATACAAGGCCATGAGAGGGGGTGGCCCAAGGTTCATACAAGGCCATGAGAGAGGGGGGTGACTCCATGTTTGAACTAGCTCTTCTTAAAATCTAAAATACCTAAAATGCCCCTTATAAATTAGAAAATCCAAAAATTCTCAAAAAGTTCCCATAAATCCTAGGGCAGCAAAATTACCCCTAGGAAATCTAACCAAAGAAACCTCAAGCACCCACTTTTTGGATTGCTTAGATTCTAGCGTAGAGTCGCACTTTCCTTCTCGCTTAAAACGAGCAAGGCATGGCTAAATTCCCTGTGAGGAAAAGTGTTGAATACTTGTCCAGATTTCCTAGTAGATTGTTAAGGGTGAGTGGGCCTCCCCGACATTCTTATAGTTTGGTAGTCTAAGAGGGTCAGCTACATCGACTCGGGGAATTTAGAACTCTCTTGTAAGCGTGTTCTACGCACCCTGTAATAATTGAACATATTTTTGCCTCTTTTGTGTGCAAGTCTTTGGTTGTCGCATTTCCTTTGGGGGTGATAAATACCACAAGCGTACACACCACATGCACAATATTCAAGTGCGTACTGATAGACACGAAAACAAAGTTATCGATTTTATGTGGTGTTTGCTAATGATTGTGTTTGTTTTACTTGGATTTATCCTTTAAAGAGAAAAGCTAAATTTTTATCGAATGGTTGAAAGGATATTTGATAAAAGAATTCGAGTTTTTGAATGTGATAGACGTAAAAAATAAGTTATCAATCATCTTAATGACAATGACCATGCAATAATTATTATGCCCAGAAAACCCAGAGCAAAATGGAATAACTGATAGGAATACATAAATATTGTAGAATTGGGTCTTATAATGATGTTTCATATGGGAATTCCTAAATATTTTTGGGTTGAAGCATTTTATACTACAATATTTGTTATCGATAGAATTTCCTCTACCAATTTAAAAATGGATTCACCATATTCACTATTGTTTGGACTGTGACCAGAATATCCTCAGTTCGAGTATTTAGTTGTTGGTATTTTTTCATGTCTTTGAGACTATGCTACAAATAAATCTAGTCCCCATTCTCTTTTAAGTGTATTCTTGTGCTATAGTAACTAGCATAAGCGCTACAGATGTCTAGATCCCCCACATGATAAGTCTATATATTTCGATATGTTGTATTTGATTAAAATATATATCCTTATGTTAACTCCAATTCTCGGTTTGATAGTGCTCAAGTTTAGATGGAGTTGTGCACTTATGTTATTGGTTGTCGTTGTACTTATAAGACTAAATTAAAGTTTGATGGTAGTCTAGAGAGACTTAAGGCCAGGCTAGTTGCTAGATAATACAATCAGGCTACTAGAATTGATTTTTCTGAAACATTCGGTCGTGTTATTAAGACAGCTAATATTTGAATTGTGCTCATCATAATTACTGTGCACCACTAATGTGTCAAGCAGCTTGATGTGAAAAATTCTTTCCTGCATAATTTTCTTAAGGAATATGTACTTATGGATTAACCTCTTGGATTGTAAGCTCAAAATATCCAAACCATGTCTGAAAATTAAAAAGAGCTTTACATGATCTCAAGCAAGTACATTGAATCTGGTTTGATCGATTTACTATCTACTTATTATCATTGGGGATTGCATTATAGTTGATTCATCTATGTTTGTTTGTCGCACAACTCAAGGTACTATTATCCTTCTCCTTGATGTTTATTACATTATTATTTATGGTGATAATTCAAATCTTTTAGAATGGTTCATTTTTCAACTTAAAAAGGAATTTGCAATGAAAGATCTTTGACCCTTTTATTACTTTCTTGGCAAAGAGGTATCTTTATTTTTAGGTGGAATTTTTGTATCATAAAGCAAATGTACCCGGGATCTTCTTGATCGTGCTCAGATGCTAAGTGTCAAACCTATTTAAACACCAATGACAATGAAGAATAATATGAATGGGAATTCTGGTCCATTTCCTGATCCATCTATTTATTAAAGCATTGTTCGTGCACTCCAATACATTCTATAATACGCCCTGACTTTTCCCATAATTGTTAAAACAATATGCCAATTTATGTATGCCCCTACAATTGCACATTTTTAGGTAATTAAGTAAATTTTTCTTTGTCTCAATACACAATGTTGTAATATAAAAATCTTATATGCTAGTTCACTGGAGTTATATGTCTTCTTTGATGCAGACTAGGCTTGGTATCCAAACACTCACCATTCAACCACTAGTTTATGCACCTATCAAGGTTTGGAGTGCTAAGAAACTCGTTCAAGTGTTGAAGCAGAATACCGATCTATGGCATCCACTGTTGTAGAATTGATATGGTTTTATTTTATTCTTTGAGATATTATGGTGCCTCTTCTTTAGCCACCAACATTTTTTATGACAATATTAATGCTCTCTACTTAACAATTAATTAGGTTTTTCATGCCCGGACAAAACACATTAAGATAGACTATCATTTTGTGCATGAAAAGGTTGATCTTGGATTACTTGTCGCTCGATTTGTTTACTTTCGTAATCAAATAACTGATATCTTCACCAAGCCATTTGCCACTAGATGGTTTTCGAGATCTTTGCTTTAAACTCAAGTTTCACATGCCTTCTCAGCCGAGTTTGGAGTAATAGAAACAAAATTCAAAAAACCTAATTTTTTAAAAGGCCACAATAGAAATATTGCTCTTTCCTTTTTAGATGAGAATGTAACAGTATAAGAAAGTGTCCACTGCATGTAATAACATATGAAAGTGAACATTATATGTAACAAGATGGAAAAGTATGTATTATACTATTTATCATCATTATATATAAAATACATGCAACAAGATGAAAAAGTATAAATTATACCATTTATCATCATTATATATAAAATGAATGAGCCACCACAAGTGTATGTGGGGTGCACTTTTTCTCTCAAAACATCCCCCCCTTTCTAAAGAATTCTTTAGCTCCATTTGTCAAATATGAAACCATGGGATTTCCTCGGGTTATTTCATAAGAAAAAATGGTGCCAATCTAGATGCATGTTGGGGTTCTTTGTCTTCATAACAAGAGAAGTTTCCTACCTTATCATGCCAGAATACTCAAAAAAAAAATGACAAAGAACAATTTACGATGCAAATAATTACTCGGTTGAAGAGGAGAGAAAAATTTGAAATAGAAGATAAAGACAGACGGTAGTGGAGAGCGAGGAAGGGGAAACTAGAGAAAGAGGAGGTTGAGGCAGGTAGAGAGATAAAAATTAGAGGCTATTCATGGGAGAGAGAGACGTCGAGGGGAAAAAGAGCAAATGGGATTGCAGGTTTGGTAATAATTATATTTTTTAAATATAATTTGATCTTAATTTTTAAATAATATATAATCTTTAACATGAAGATCATGAATATGAAAAAAATAAATTAAAATTAAAATCTAAAAATAATAATTATATTAAAAAAATATTTAGACTTATACTTGTTTTTCAGATAGACCACATATTTGCATCCACCAATGGATGCTTAATACCTTTAGACTATATATTGTTGAAATATGGTCTAGCGCGCATGAAATAATTTTCTTTATCCGAATCTCAAAGCAAGTGAAATCCAACGGTTAATTGTTGGGTTCTTATGTAGCCAACATATGTGAGGGTCGTATAAGATCATTACTCAAAATCTTAATTTCCGAACTCTCACTTTGGACTAGTATATATACTATAACATACTAAGCATGGATAATCTAAGATGATGGGCAGCATCGCTGTCCATCCATCATCATTGTCCGATAAAAAGACACCGGTGATGACAAACAGTAAGATCCACTACAAAAATGATTTGCCAAGGGTATGTCCCACGCTCTTTCTATCACCATTCATCTACTAATTGGACAGTGATAGGACACTATTGACCATATATCCTTATGGTCATATGAATCGCAGACTGTTCTTGTTCTTCGAAGAGCAAGACTTCCCGCGAAACCACCTTCAATCAACCTGTGAAAAATTAGGGTTCCTTTTTCTTCTGGCCAGGGGAGGAAGTTAGGGTTTCGATTCATGCATTACGAGCAATGTATGAATCACTAAGCATTTTTTTTGCTCGTCATCATCAGTTCATGTGAGAGAGTGTAACAATCACCAGATATGTGCGGGATTGCTCTGATAATTTCAGGAATTTGCTTTGATTCATCTTCTCTCAATAATGTTAATGGAAAATGTTTTCAAGACTCTAATTTCTCATCTTATCAACAGGACACAGAGGTACCTGTTAAACCTTTAAATGCAACTGTGTTTGTTGCTCTACTCATAGTTAGTTATTCTATTGGTACCGGTTTTTCTTTTTTTTGCTTTTTTTTTTTGTGTAATTTTGGGTGATTCTGAGCTTTGTTTGAAAATTTTCAGAAAATCATGGGAAATATTGCTACTTTTTGAAAGAACCCATTAACACTAAAAGGGAATAACAACACATAAGGAGAGACCCATGTGAAAATTCTGGCTCTTTTCTAGTTTAAACTGATTGTATCAATACTACTTTGGTCTGCTCGATGTTTCATGCTTATTTATGTTTATTTGGGGGTTGATTTTCAGCTGCCTCATGTGCTTAGTTCTTCTCCTGTGCTGATTTTGAAAGCCGTCCAAAAGACAGTCATGGAATCCAAGTTTATTCGTGTAACTATTTTTTATTACCTTAGAAGCATTCTTCAAGTTGTATGGTCATTACCATAGGACGACACCTGATAGTTTGAAAGTGGCTTGCATTTGAGTTTATTCATTGAACTGTACTTTACAACTTGTGATGATTGTCTTCTTTAGATTAAAAAAAAAGGAAAAAAGGTTAGTCATGGTGTCCTTTTTAAGATGTAGAGCGTCCAGTTATGTGATCTGCTTGTTTCTTGATGTTTGTGTTTGAAGTAATTTGTTGTTGGTACTTACCCCAAAAAAAAGTAATTTGTTGTTGGTATAAGTTGGCTTTCTTGGGAAAATTCTGTTATGTGCTGACCTTTAAAATGTATGAAACATTTTAAATTTGGTTTTGAAATTATTTGTTGCATTCTCCATTTGCATTTTGCCATGGCTTTTATTTGGATTGAGAGATTTCTATCATTGTCTTTCCCTTCCATTTATGGTAATCTTGGGTTTAATCTTTAGATTGTAGAAAATTGAGTACTATATCTGTGTTTCTTATCTCACAAACTTTTTTACTGTTACTTGCGAGATACCGAGTGAACCAAGTTTCAACATTTTCAGGTTTGTGGGTCATTTTGGACCATCGATGACCTTAAAGAAGCACTGCAAAGGCGAGGACCTGATCACCTGGGGAGTGAGATAGTGCTTCTCAAACAAAATGAGATACTGTCTAGTGGAACCGAAGAAAACTTTTTCTCAGATACAGGTGCAAACAGTACAAATGGCCATTATGGTGTCATTGATTCCCCTGTAGCTTCCCATTCCTTATCTGCTGACCTTAAAGCTCAAGGCCCAATCCTTGAGTTGGAAAAGGCTGATAATGACTGCAGAGAGGAAATTAAGGATAATGCATGGCTTCTTGAAACTGAAAAAGACTGTGATATTCCTAGATGTGAAGTGAAAAACACTGGTGGTGATGGCTTATCTGGGATAAACTCTTCCTCAGAGATGCATTTCTTTGGTGCTACTTTGCAGCTGAGGGGAATAGCACCTATACATCAGCCACTAAAAGATGCAGACCAAAATCTGCTTATTTATAATGGTAGTGTGCTGCATTTACTTTCTAGACGTTTCAATTCTTTACACGCATCAAAAGAAAAATTAATGAAAATGTTTATATTCCATTGTGATTAGTAATGAAATGAGTTTTTAACTTGATAGTTGTGAATATCAAACAATGTGTAGACTGTGATTCCTAGGTTATGGATGAGATGAGTACTTTATAACCGGGCACCCTGATGAGAGACCGAAGTCTTGACCCTAATTTTGTTACTTGCTTCTTATCAATCACCTTGTTGAGCAGACCACTTTCTTTATTAGGTAAATTATTGTTTGTCCCCTTCCAAACCCCACACTTAATGATATGAACACTTACGTTTGATGTTGTCCCTCTTTTCATCAATAGAAAACCTCATCTCCTAGACCCTGAGCTTATTTTCTATGCTCCTTTCCGGTCTTTCGGCACAAACAAGACCCATGCACTACTCTCATTTTCTTTTATTTTTGATCTTTTACTATTTTTTCATTGAATAAATAAAGATGTGTGAAAACTGTGTGTTTGCCCCTGAGGGCCTTTACAAAAATATCTTGAAACTCAATAGAGCAAAATTGTGTTTGTATGACTGCACAAAATCATCAGTGGTAACTGCAAAATTTTATAGACAAGGTGGAGGAGTTTGTTGTTGTTCATATCTAATAATCATCAACACCTTTTTTGTACCCCTTCCTTGGCCTGATAGTCCACTTTATCATTACACTCCCACCGAAGATGTTTGAACGAGACTGTTATTGTTGATGGTATCTCTAGAAATTCAAAGATTCCATCTAGCCTCCATGGGAAACCTTCCCCAACCTGCACCCATGAGATAATTTTTCCCTAAGTCATGTTCCACTGAGAGGGTGCCCTGAAGTAAGATAGTGGCTTCTACCTCCGTCAATTCAACTTTCTTCCACATTCATTACAAAATACCCCCTATGCCTGTGGGCCAGGATTGCCCATTGAGCAGCCATCAAAGTTCAGCATGATGGCTGTGGGGTGTTTGAACTGTTTGCATAGCGGCTCATCGTAGTTGTAATCCAAGAAGCTCCTTTCTAATGGTGGCTTACTATGTTGTAGTTTGCCTGATTCTGTTGATAAGGGTTTATGTGTTTGGTGAAATACCTTTAATGGAAGATAACTAATGCGCGCGGTCTCCACAGAATCAGGCCTGGTTTTTGGCGTAGACAGCAATAACCATTGCTTAGACTCCCGAGCTAAAGAATCTGGGGCGACCCCCAGGACCTGGAGACATTGAGGAAGAAATTCCATTTTGAGATACTAAATTGACAGTGGAGCAGGAGATTAGTAGAGGCTGAGGAAGAGGTGGTTGTAAGAACTCTCTCTTTCACGGCAAGCCACCCAGAAGCATGAGTCTTGGAAGTAGCTGGGATCTCCCAAGCTTCTCTCCACGGCTATCAAGGGTGGATTGGCTGCGTATGTGATAGGACTTGTCTGCAAAAGTCCCTCTGCTATTGTGATGTGGGGAAATTGATGGGCAGTAAACGCAACAAAAAATCAAGCCAAATACAAGCAATAACTAGGAGAGATTCCTCCTCACTCCAAGCTAGGGTCCTCACCCAAGCTAGGGTTCCAAAAAGTCTAAGCTTTTTCCTTCTTCAATTTTGGAAAATTACATGGGATGACCACTCAAGGGCCCCACGCACCTCTTAAATAAAGTTTATCTAATCGTTCAAGGACATTAAATGTCCATGAAAAGAATAGATTGATCCAAAAGTCCTAACTTCATCACAAAATTCATAGTGATAATTTAACTCCTGTGAATAGGAACTCATGAATAGTGCCCATGAATAGTATCCATGAAGATTAACTAGTGAAGAGTAGAAAAAGAAAAAAAAAAAACTAGAACACCCAAAATAAACCCTAAAACTACAATTAAAATATATATCTTTTAAAATTAAATAAAAAGAAATTAGAATAATTTTGTCTTGCATCATTCGAGAAAACTGTCCTCAAGTTTTGAAGCAGGTTAAGATGAATTTTACGTTAGTTCCACAACCTTCTTCAACCTGAAAATTCATCATCATCATCATCATCCAAGCCTTAACCCTACTGAATTTGCCTTGGCTCAATCCTATAACATACGAGGTATGCACCTTTGAGATGAGCATTGGATTCAATGGTTAAACCACCCTCACCTATTGATTCTCCTTGAAGTTCTTTATCTTTTTCTTTGTCTAAGATCAGTTCAACCACGCAATCTTGTTCATCATTGTAGATCAGACTCCCACAAGATCTTGTTCTTCATCTAAGCATGTATCAAAGATTGGTGGCAATTCCTAATCTATACCCTGCTGATTTTGGATACAACTTGCGTGAAATCAAGAATGTCTTCTTTCAAATAAAAAAAAATAAAGTGATGTCTCCTATGTCTAGGTCTTTTTTCGGTTGCATTCGAGATCTTCTTGGCCTGAAAGATCAATGTCTTGCCCATGATTGGTACTCACAAACTACTGCATCAGTTGGTGAACTTGCCTTTTAAGGTCCATGATTTCTTCATATGTGGGATCATGACTTGGGTATGTGAAAACCCCTTTACATGGCCCCTTCTCGCTACCATACGTTCACCTAAATCACAAACCTAGGCAGAGAATAAACAAAACCTTGCTGAAATTAGCAAGATCTAGGCTGATTTGACAAAACTTGGTCCAAATCAGCAAACCCAAGGCTTGTTGTAGTTTTCTTGCTTTGTTGTTGAAAAATGCCTATGCACTGGTACCATTGATGTAGGGAAATTGATAAAAACAACAAGAAATCAAGCCAAGCACCACCGGCAATAATTGGGAGAAACATAGGGTTTCCTCATCATCCCAAGCTAGGAAGCCTAAGCTCTTTTCTTTCTTCAATATGGAAAATCAAGTGGAATGGCCACTCAAGGGCCCCACACACCTCTTAAATAATGTTTATTTAATTGTTCAAGGACATTAAATGCCTATGCATGGAATAAAATGACTCAAAAGTCCTAACTTGATCACAAAATTCGTAATAATAACTCCACCTTGGCCGGCCCTGTGTTGGTCAATGCCAGCCCTAAGCCCGGGTAAAGGAGGAGGGTTATGTTAGGTGGGCAGTCAGCATAAAACTTTGCCGCAATTTTTCAGGAATCTTGAATATATGTTGTCTATTCATGCTAGGGTGTTTCCCATAAGCGTTTATGGTGAATGGCGGCATAAGATTCGTGTAGCCAATCCCAAATAGTTGGAATAAGGCTCTGATGATGATGAATAGTAATCTATGAACAATACCCATGAATAGTATCCATGAATCGCAACTAGTGAATACTAAAAAAAGAAAATAAGAAAACCCTAGAACACCTAGAAAAAAACTTTAAAGCCCTAAAAATAAAATCAAAATATGCATCCATTGGAATTAAAAATAAAATACAAATGAGAATAATTTTGTTCTACATCATATTAGGACCTTGTATCCACTTATTAGAGCACCTTCATGGAATAAACACCTTGTCTAATTCTTTGAATAGCCATGTTAGTTCTGCAATTTCTTTTTTATTAAGACTTCTTCAGAATCTTGGGTTCCAAACAATTCAATATGTTTCTCTCAAACACTTTTGAAACCATTTTGTCTTTACCCACATTTGCTAGAATGGAAAATACATTTTCAAGGGACTGAAGGACTGGCAAAATATCTATCCAAAGTTTTATGCATTCACCACTCGTCAAGAGAAGTCTACTGTGGTTCACAAACATTTTCTTACCGAATTGATCCCTCTCTATGACCAAACACACTGCAGTAACCAGTGAAGCTATTCACTAGCCATCTGCACTGATTGCTGCCATATTTGGAAACGACAATCTGCTTCCGTAGGTGCTTTTTGTCTTCTTTATATCCCCACTGCCATGTGCATAAAAGTGCATCATTTGCTTCTCTTGAATTTCAGTCCAAACCTCCCTTTTTCTTGGAAAGACAGATGAGACTCAATTAATCAGATGAAATCTGTCCCAATTTCCACCATCTCTCTAAATATAATCTCATTACAACTGCTCAATCCTATTTGCTATACCCACCTGTGTTTTGAAAAGCGAACTCATGTATACCAGGAGATTCAATAAGGTACCTTGATTAAAGTCATATGATCACTTGAAGATGAGCATTTGCACTTCCAAATCACTAGCCTTCTCACTGTTGCTCTCATGTTCCTCCAGAGAACTCATTGATGCGGTTGTAAATGGTCAGTGTCCTTTTCGTCCTTACACTGAAAGTGTTGACCATCCATGTTATCTCTGTTCAAATTGTTCTTTATAAATGTACTGGCCTTGAGGAACTTGTCACGAGATGTGTAGTCATCCCCATCTGTTTGTAGGGTCCCTCTTGAATGTGTTTGCCATCCATCTTACCTGGTGCTGCTAACCATTGGGTTTGCATTGTTTCTCGTGGTTATCTGTCTTGGCTAAAATTAGCAAAAATGAAAGAAAATATTGGTTGAAGCATATGCACTATTGTACCCAATCTTTGTCAGTTCCTTTTGACAATCTTCTTGGTTTTAAAGGTGAAGTATTTGGAGGAATTCACGTTGACAGGGATGAAAATGATGGTGAAGTTTTAATGCATGCTCTGAGAAGTTGTTGTTCCTGCAAGTGCCATGGAGATAGAAAAGTTTGCCTTTGTTCTGAGAAGATGGGACATATTCGTGTGCCACAACTTCTGTCAACAATCAAAGGACCTTGGGCTCTAATTTATTGGCAGGCATGCTCAATATTTTTCTTAATTGATTTAGTTTTGAATGATTCTTTAGAATTCTTTGATGGGTTTCTACTCATTGTTTTGATTCATATTGAATTTAAGAGGCTTTACTTTAAGATACTGATGCAGGAAGGAAACGTGGAAAATTAAATCCACCCTTTTCGTGAAGGTTAAACAAGTATAATCGATAATATTGAAGTTAAAACATGGCTGTAAATCATGCCATGATAAGAAAAAATTTTATCTTTTATAAAATAAAATTTATTCCAATAACATATGCCTTCCAAATATAACATCCAACCTTTTTTAAGCCTATTAAACCCTAATTTAACTTGAGATCCAGATAAACATTTAATACTCTAAAATACCCCTAAAACTATATTAAAATTCCAAAAATACCCCTGTGAACAATAATGTGTAAACAGTAATTGTGAACAGTAAGTATGAACAGTAACTGTGAACAATGCCATAAATAGTACTTATGAATAATAAATAAAAAAATATAAGAAAATCCTAGAATCTCAAAAAAATCTTAAAATCCTAAACCTAAAAGCAAAATATACATCCTTTAAATTAAATAGAAATAAAAAATAAGTATAATTTTTATATACTAATTTAAGGGTAGTGATTTCATGCAACAGTTGTATCATAGTATAATGCAATGGCACTTCTAGATAACCATGTTTGTGGTATTTGTATGACCCAAAATTTTGCACACACTCTCTTCATCTCAATAATCAATCCAAAAAACAAAAAGTTCAATTTGACCTTAGATATGGTTAAAATGGGTCCCCTCCAAAAACGAATATAAACCATTATTTGGTGAATTTCAAGATCTTAGCGTTTATAGACTCAAAATCATGTTTTTCTTTGTTAACATTGTTCATCTAATGATAATAAAGCCATCCAAAACAATTGGAGATGACAAAATCCTTCTAAGGCCTAGATCTAAGCATCTCACCAAAATGAACGGCGTATGTTAATTGGGCTAAAAAATTACTTTCTAAGTTGTGTTTTCAAACTTTTCTTCTTTGTGACTGTTCATTAGAATGAAAATAGTGTATATTTCAAAATTTGGATCAAACAAATGGCCATACCATGGTTTTTGAAGGTTGTTGCATCATATTACTACACAACCGTTGTATGAAATCATTGCCCCTAATTTAAATTTTTTTCCTTTTACTTATGGAAAATTCAAATTGTACAGGAAAGTTCGAAGACCTTATGGTTTGGAAAGGATGCATTTGGAAGGCGAAGCCTTCTTGTTCACTGGCCTAATTCATATGACCCAAGACTTGTGCTTTCTTCTATAGCACTGCCCTTGGCTCTAGAAGGGAAGTGTAGCAGGTAATAGGGAATGACTTGAGGGACATTTGCTTTCTTGCCGTTATGGTGGTAAAACTGCCCAAGTTGCTTTTTTTTTTTCTGGAAAGTATACTCTGATCCAATGGGCCATGGGAGACTCAATTGTCCATTCGGATCATCACTGTCGAATGAAATGATGGATAGTGAAGATGATAGAGAGTGGGACCATCCAGAATAGGACATGACCCACTGATGAGTCACTCTCTTTCCGTTTGATGCTGGCATGCCAAGGGGCTACGATTTATCTAGTCAATTAGATTATAGTGAGCTTTAATTTTTTTCTATTTAATTGTATACAATACTTTGCCCACCACATGGGCATGGCTTCAATAGACCATAGTCTCCCATATCATTGGAATATAGTATACCTTCCCTTTTTTTTCATTTTTTTTTCATTATAATATGTATACTTCTTCTTCCAACTTTATTTCATTGAAAGGCAATAGCCCCAATGGAGAACGGCTTTCCATAATCAATTGGTTAATAATGTACCTCCTTTTTCACTTCTATATGATACGATATAGATTCTTCTTCAGATTTTCTTGAACCACCATACATAAGAAATTATTGAAGGAAAAATAGTGTCTGCCATGTTGATTGTATTGTTGTTCTAACAGGGACACAGGTTGGGCTACCCCACGTGATAACTTTGGAGCTCATTCAGACATTGATGAACACATAAATGATGACAATTACTGGGAAGAGCTTCCATGTGGAATTTATAGCATAACTTTTGGGACGAGAAAATCGTATCACAATAATACCCAGAATACTCTAGGGAGAGTTTCAAAGCATGAATGGACGGATCCCCAGTTACAGAGACTTGTCAAATGGGATAGAGCTTTTGTGGACCCAAAGCTTAAGGTTAATTATCTTAAGTTTTATTCATCACTAAGAAAGTATCTCTTGAACTCAATTTATGCGTAATTGTGTATTAAACATCCTTCGAAGTGATCTTGTCAATAATCTAATTAGATGTTCTTCACATTCTCAGGTTACTGCAGGTGTCTGTCAATTGTCATTGGCAGAAAAGGTGCTCGTTGCTCTAAAACTATCCATCATAAAGCGAACAACTCAAAGCATGGTTTCTCAGGTATGAAATTAATTGGGAATAGTGTAGAAGAATCAAATGCACTATGGAAAGACCATATTTGCATTTGGTCATCATAATTCACTGAAATGATGGACGGTGATGAAGAGAGACTGGGAACCACCCTTGCGGTCATAGCTTGTCCATACTGACCAAAGGAACCCAATGTGCAGAAACCTGTGGGAGAAGGTCAAAAACAGCAACTTGTCCCAGTTGCTGTTCTATTTTCAGGTGGATTGGATTCCATGATACTGGCAGCGTTGCTAGACCAGTGCTTGAGCTCCTGTTGTAAGTCTTACCTGTAAGAATTGATAATTTTATGCTTCATAGGCTCGATTTGTTCACTAACCTTTTACAGACAAAAGTTATGTGCTTGCATGCGCATGCATGGGTACATGTGTGGGTGAGAGGGTGTGGAGGAATATATGGGTCTTTATAAATGATTAATAACCCATTTAGTCTGGCCTAGGGTTATCATTCATTTGGTGTGGTCTTTAGTTGTCATTCGTAGGTGCCAGTTTGAGAGAGAGAGAGAGGCGGCTTTGTCAAGGATTTGGGGGAAGGGGGGGTGGGGGGCAGGGAGGTAGGTTTTCTCTTTCACACATATTTCCTCCATGACAGAGGCCAACTAACTGAAGAACTATAAAATTTTGCTAAACAAAAAAAAAACAGAAAAAGAATTTGTATGCTCTTTCTCTGTGATGCATCATTTTCTCAGTCGATATAGAAAATTTCATTTTACTTCAACTGATATGGAGTATTGAACCTTCATGTAGAGATCTCATTGGATTTTTCTATTGACAGATGATATTGATCTTATCAATGTAAGCTTTGATTGTCAATCTGCACCTGATAGAATATCTTCTAAGGAAGGCATGAGAGAGCTCCAGAGGATTGCTCCTTCTAGAAGGTACATGCAGTTTATGTGGACTTTGTCAGTGGCAGCTTTATTACTTTTTTGGTTCTCTGGCATAATGTTGCTCTTTTCTTACTTCAGTCTGCAATACATGTATGACTAATTGCCTTCCCATTTAGCCATATATGTTCTTTGGTGTTTGTAGTTTATTTTCTTGCATGACGTACTAATGATGCTATGGTTGGATTTTGTTTTAACATTTTGCTTTTAGCCATTTAATATCTGATGTTGTTCTCTTCTTACCACGAAACTTCTCTTCAAGGTTCAGATTCCCCCCAAAAAAGAAAAAAAAAAACCTTCTCTTTCAATATTAACCCCATCTGCATGCATGAATACGTAGAATTTTCCTGAGAACTATGTGTTACTGTATCTCAACGAGCAGGTTTCGTGTATGTTTTCAACTACAGCTTTACATAAGTCAAAAATCAAAGTCGCAAAGTGTCGTGTATGTTTTCAACTTTTTTCACAGAGTATAAGAGAGTTGGATTCAGTACAAAATAGAAAGTTCGCACTTGATGTTCATTTTGAACATTGGCATCTTCATTTCTTAGGAAAATCTCATATAGGGATACTCTTGCAATTCCACCTTCAATCTGTCTTTCATTGCTTTGGTTAGATTAGGGCACAAAGTTGTACCACTATTGAAAATTTGATGTTATTCTTTTCTCACTACTAAACTTCTCTTCAAAGTCAACCCCAAATGCATGCATGAATGTAGGCTTTTTCTTGAGATCTATGTCTGATTGCATCTGAACATTCAGGTTGCCTGTGTGTCTTCAACTACAGCGTTACATACGCTGAAAATCAAAGTCACGGAGTGTCTTATATACTATCTCTAACAAACCATTATACGAGAGTTGGCTTCAGTACAAAATAGAAAGTTTGCACTTAATGTTCATTTCGAATATCGGCGTCGTTATTACTTGGAAACATCTCACATAAGGATACCCTTGCAATTGCACCTTCAATCTGTCCTTCATTGTGTTGGTTAGTTTGGTGCAAAAAGTTGTATCACCATTATGTTGATAGAATTTTGATAGAACTTGGATGGTTGGAGAACTAAGTAACATTAATTACATATCATTCGTTAGCAAATGGGTTTGCCGGAGGAATTATTCAATGGGTTCCTCCAGTGTTTCAAAAAGCATACCGACCAGCGCTTGGGCGGCAGCCAAGGCGGTCAAGGGGGCTTGGCCGCATCGCCCAGGCCTAGGCGCTAGAAAAAGGCGGAATCCTTGGACGCTCGCCTAGGCACCTAGGAACCCGCCTAAGCGGTCGCCTAACGCCCAACCCTGGGCAGCCTCCCAGGGACTGCACCCCTCGCAGAGGGGGAAAACACATTCGGTAGGGACATTTTTTGTCTTTTTTTTTTATACTAAGGGGTTAAATTTATGGTTTTTTATACCTAGAACAAATTAGAGCCCATTTTAGAAAGAGAAAAACTCCTAAAAACTAATTTTTGGTGAGTTCTTTAGAATCGAAGGATTTTCCAAAGTTTTGCGAAATTGATCAAAACATCACTCATTGATATTATTATTAGATTTAATTTTTGATGTTTTATAAATCTATTGGAGGGTTTTTTAGAAGATTTTGAGTCCTTAGAAGCAACTTTGAGGTGGAAGTTTGGAGATCGAACAATTAAAGTAAGTGATTTTTTTTTTATTGCTTGTATAAGTTGTATTATTTTGAGATGTCTTTTTCGGGATCTAATAGGAGTGGTGATCCGGGTTGAAAATATGGCAACAACCTAAATCCTAATGATAAAAATTGCATAGGATACAAGTTTTGTGAAAAAGATACATAAGGGAGCATAAACCGGTTGGTATTTGTGGATAGTGGATTTGTAGTTCCACTGGTTTGGTATTTGGTATCTTGGATTTGGTAATTTGGTTGGTAAATTTTAAGTTTTAATTGGATATGGACCGATTTATAGTTATGCTTATGGAGTGTGTGCTAATGTGTACTTTTGAATTTTGATGTGCCCTGAATACCTAATTCCTATATTTTATACTATAGATTGTTATACTTATACTGTAAAAGGTTATAAAGTCCTTTTTTATTTCAACTGGGCTGCCCAGGTTCGGGGCGCTTTCTTAGGCACTGGGCGGCCTAGACCCCCCAGGCCGCCTAGGACCCGCCTAGCGCTTTTTGAAACACTGGGTGCCTCCTGATTTTTATGCTAGTATTGAAGATACGGTCCAAATCATGTCCTCTACTTGCTTAAGTGTTCAACTGAGCACAGCTTGGGGCCAACTTTTTTAATACATAAAAGTCTCTTTTTAATTAATTATTTTGAAAAGTCAGCAACTGTAGTTCTCTACTTGCACAAACTTTGGAATCACTAATCAATTCCTTGGGCTTTTGAAATCATGCAACTTTAATACTTTTTTAATTTTAAGATGTAAAAAATATATAAAACCTTGATGAACCAACTTGGTTGTTGTGAGGGGTGTGTGGGAGGTCGATGCAGCTTTAGAAACTTTTCTTTGTTGAATATTAATTTGGGAGCTGTTATGAATGAAACTCTCGACATCATGTTTTGGAACCCACCACCCTGACCAACTGTGCCTACCACTCGTGATGCAACTTTAGAACCATATTTTTTGAATAATTGAGTTTTTAGTCAATAGGGCTAAAGAGTAAATCCACACAGTTATATAATATATTAGAACAACAAGTTGCAATTTGCTTCTGAGAAAGGTCCCTTCAATCTCTTGTTGCACACATATTTCCATTTCCAGTTCTCAATTAAGTCTTTTCATTGTGATGATGACTTGCGATAAAGCAGAAAGCAACTTTATGACACTTTGATGCAAATCGCATCCAAGATTTTTATTTATCTATTTTTGGGACTAAATTTTAGGGATATTCATATAGCTGTTAAAAAGGGATTTTTATTTTATTTAGGATGAAATTCCTAGTTTGTAGGATTCCATGATCCTATTTTGGTAGGATTGTTAGATAATTAGAAAGAGAATGATGGGAGATGGGTTGATCACGTGAGGAGTAGAGAAATTTCCTAGAAAAGAGGATCTAATATGAAAGTTTGGAAAAAGGGTTGATTTGTTTGATTTAGAGAGATTTATGTGGGATATGGATGGGGAGTTAGAGATTTAAAAGAAAAAATTTTATGGGAGACTTTCATGAGAGTGAAGATCTAAGCAAAGATTTGATGGAGGAGAGATTCACGTGAAAAGGAGATGAGCTAGAGAGACAAAATTGTAGGGAAAAGAGAGATATAAGTGGTGGGAAGAGAGAGAGAGAGAGAGAGAGAGAGAGAGATTGGCGTGGGAGAGAGTCTATTTTTTGGGTTTATTTATTTATTTATTATTGACTTGTATTTAAGGTGGAACTTTCCCCTTGCAAAAGAGTCTGGAATATTTTTGTACAGAATTTGTTTATGAATGAAGAAAGATAGCTTCTTCTTCTCCATGGCTTGATTTACAGCCACATTTCCTCCTCCATTATTGTTGAATTTTGCTTGTTTAAGATCGAAAGAATGGCATATTTAATTTCCCGGACTTCTTTGCATCATTTGGTATCAGAGCATGATTCGAAAAGGGTTAGTGACTACGATGGATGGTCGTGGAGGTCTCGACCGTAGGAATGCTGAGCATCACCAAATATACAAGAAAATCGACAACTTGACGGAGATGGTTGAAAAGTTGTTACAAAAGGAAAGATTGCAACATCACACATCGAACAAGATGAGATCTATGGTGTTAGATCCATATTGTGCAGGTTCTAGTGGAGATCAACGTAAATCAGAGCACGAGTTTGAGTGGGAACGGTCTGATGTTATGCTTGATCGCATTTATGGGTTTGATGCATGACGGTATCGACGGGAGCATGAATGCAAAAAAAAATTGGGCGACCGACAACCCGAAAGCCGATGTCATTGGCATAAGGGAGTAGATCAAAATCAGTGTCGAAATGAACAAAGAAAGAATTTTCCTACATCCAGATCGACCCCTAGAACCGGATCATCCCAAGCTAGGAGACTGACGCCTCCAACTCAGGGAGTTATTGTCCCTACAACAAAATCTGAACATCACACAAGTAAACAAAGAAAGGTATGTGATTTCTTGGTAAATGAAAACCCTAATTTTCCACTAGAGAAGTTGATGCTTTGAAAGACACAAATGGTCCTAAATCTAATGGGAAACGAGTAGATATATTTAGAGATCAATATGCTGAAAAAATAAAGATAATTGAGGATATGCCTAGCATTTTTATTGATGAAAGTGCGGAGGATTCTAAGTCTGATAATGAAGAAATTCTGCATTGTATTGATCAGAAGGAAATGCTAACTTCTAACATTATTTCTGTTGAAGACAATGTTGGATTTTCAAATGATTCCCTCCTTATGAACATGAACGGGCAACCACTGACTACAATGTAATGGGATTTGGGATTGGATGAGAAAACCAAGATAGTGGGCTTTTTATCAAAGCAAATTGTCGATGGTCAGACATGAACTATCTTTGTTGCCGTTAAGTGATGAGACTCCACCTGAATCTTTTAAAGAGGAGGGTGTGGCTAGATCTCTATTCGGCAACTTATAAAGGAAAAAGTTGATGATATCCAGGTTGTAGTTGATGATGTGGTTAATGTTGGTGCCGGTGGTAAAAATTATGTGTGCATTGGAGTTGTCTAGTAGAGGTGATGAGAATGTTGGTACGAACATGGAGAGTTGTGATTGGTTGTCTATTCTGAAAAATCCTAACCATGATGTGTGGAATGGTTATGATAAATTTGAATGGTTTGGTCGTTTATTGGAACCATTCCGTAATTAGTGTGGTAAGAATTATGGTTGTGTTGTAACTTGTGAAGACATGGACACACCTCTGGACCCTGCAAAAACATTTGATAAGGATGACTATTGTGCACATCCAGAACACTACGTTGCCATTTTCCATGAAAGAATTGCACCATATGCATCTGTAGTAGTGAATTGAATGTATTGGGAAAGAAGAATTCCTCGATTGCTTAGTACTAAGCAATTACATGACATAATGAGAAAAGGATGCCCACTTGTTGATATTTCAGATATAATATGTGATGTTGTTGGTTCAATTGAGTTGTGTTAATCAAACCACGAGGGGGCAAGGGTATAATATGTCTAGCGGTTGACATTCTTCCAACTGAGTTTGCAAGAGAAGCGACCCAATAATTTGGAGATGTCCTATCCAATTTCATTGTTGTCTTGGCCTCTACGATTAACATCTCAGATTTACCTCATTTAAGAAGAGCTTGCATATCTCACAAATGAGTGTTTAAACCTTTGTATAAATATATTGCCCGCATGAGAAATTCAGACTCAGTTGATTCACTGCTAAACCCTTGCAATTGCATCCAAAAGAAATACACAATATTCGTTTCTCTTAGTGGTCATTTATATGATCATTTATTTTACCAATGAGGCATTGGATATTATTGAGGCTGCTGGTGGTTCATTTCATTTTGTGAGATGTGAAGTGGGTCAAAGTGCGGATGCCTTGCCATTCTTAGAACTTGAAGTTGGTTCTAATGATCAAAGCATTCTTGACCAAATAATTGATTCGTTGTCTTTTATTACTAATACAAGTGATAATTCTGAGGCTAGAATTTCTAGGAGAGGTACAGACGGAATTTCACTAAAGGTTGGTGAAAAAATTGTGTAGGCAGGAGGTCGCCTAGAGGAAAGACTAGCGGTTCTAATACTAGGTGCAGGATGTGTTCGCCAACAATTATATTTCCTGTGCAGATATTTGAATGTGCTTGGGTGTTTGTCATGGAAGAAAGTTTTTTTTTTTTCTAGGAATTAAAATTCTTTGGTTGGAAACAATGCTTCCTTTTTAGCAAAAGTAATTGATTTTGATCCCTCAATCAGCAATTTGTTCTGCAATGTATATGCCAAATGGATGGCCATCGAAGATGCATCCCAGTTGTTCAGCTTAATGCCTTACAAGGAACATTTGCGTGGAGATGTTGGACTTCACCATCAGTGAAGGGAGGACGATGAAGATTGAATAGGAAAAACTCGAGACGATATTTATTTATTTATTTATTTATTGTTAGGACTGAATTTTAGGGATATTAATATAGCAGTTAAAAAAGGGATTTTTATTTTATTTAGGATGGATTTCCTAGTTTGTAGGATTCCATGATCCTATTTTGTTACGATTGTTAGATAATTAGAAAGAGAATGATGGGAGATGGTTGATCACGTGAGGGGTAGAGAAACTTCTTAGAGAAAAGATGATCTAATATGAAAATTTGGAAAGGGGTTGATTCTCTTGATTTAGAGAGATTTATGTGGGGTATGGATGGGGAGTTAGAGATCTAAAAAAGAATTTTATGGGAGATTTTCATGAGAGTGAAGATCTAAGGAAAGATTTGATGGAGGAGAGATTCATGTGAAACGGAGATGAGCTAGAGAGAGAAAATTGTGGGGGAGAGAGAGGAAGAGATTAACGTGGGGGAGAGAGAGAGAGAGATTGGCGTGGGAGAGAGTTTATTTTTTGAGTTTTTTTTATTTATTTTTAATTGACTTGTATTTAAGGTAGAACTTTCCCCTTAGAAAGGAGACTGGAATGTTTTTGCAGAAAATTTGTTTATGAATGAAGAAAGATAGCTTTTTCTTCTCCATGGCTTGATTTACAGCCATATTTTGCCTTTTATTGTTGTTGAATATTTGCTTGTTTAAGTTCAAAAGAAGGCCGGATTTTATTTTCCAGGCTCCTTTTGCATCACACTTGTACATTAAAAAGTGTAGATGAAACTAGCCTAAACACTTAAGAGTGGATATCTTTTATTAGGAAGAAATCTAGTCCTTGGCCCTTCAATATATACCCCCTCATAGGTCAATATAGTAGCATGAGAAAACTCCTAGAAGCATACAATATCGTAACATTCAAATTTAGGAGGCATCATTGGGCTATCCCATGTAAACAAAGTAGTGCAGAACATGTAGGGACAGTACTCTCTTTTCGTTTATAAAAGGATCAACTAATAAATGATTGCATTGTTTGAAGCACAATGTGTATAATTATTCTGTCCATAAATATGCTCTGCCAAGGCCTACTTGGGACAGGTAGGGCCTCAAGTAGCCCCACTGGCTTGGCTCTCTCTACCTTGTCGTGTTGGCACACAAGAGAAGTCCTCACGTATTCTTCCACGTCATCCGCCATGTGTGGCCAGAGCTATTCGATTTCTGAACGTTGCCCTGGGCCTTTCCTCACCTTTCCGGCTCCTATCTGGACCTGTCCCTGACCTTTCCTATCCTAGAGTATTGTCTCCTCAAAAAAAAGCTAAATGCACTCTATGGCCATTAATTTATATGGCCTGGTATGGTACTGACATATGATCTAATTAGGTACCATTGACTCCTACTTAACTCGGTTCAATCGGTTATCCGTTCACAGCGTTCAGTCTCAAATCCAATCCCTCCTTCACTTCGTGAACTGCTACTAGCTCGTATACCAGCTCGTCTTATGTACTTATTATACTACTGCAACTGTTTTCCCTCCATTAAAGCACTTCTAACTCGCCCGGAACTCAACTAACAGGAACTCGAAACCCTAACACCGGACTTGAAACTAGGAAGGCGATGTCTTTGACCTTTATTGCTTGCTATGCTAAAGCAAAAAGAAAAAGCTATGGAAGTGAAGAGCCCCTAGCAAAGCACACTAAAAGCAAAGCTCTTTTTTGGACTCATAGCAAAGCTAAGCACTCAAAAGCGAAGCAAAGCACAAGGAGAAAGCAAAACTCTTTCTCAAACTTACACTGCTTAAAGTCCAACCATAAGTGGATTGACTTAATTATTTATCAAACATGTCCTTTTGAGAGCATAAATTTTCATAATTTATCAACAGTGCCTTTTCAACCACTCAAATCAGCACCTAGATCAACACCTTATTGCTTTAGTACACTCTGCATAGCATATCAAAGTAGACTTTCAAACTCGTTTGTAGATGCCCAAAATGAGAGAGCAAAGGTCATATGTAATTAAGACTTATAAGAAAACGGTCATATAACTAAGAAGCTCCATAGTCCATAATGATAAATAAGATCTTATTTACTTTTTAATTCTGTATTTATTTTGTCTTTGGCTTATGCCTCATTGCACATGCATCTTTGTCATGCCATGATGGATGAGGTGCACTGTGGCCATCCCTTGATATATTATCCATCAGGTTGTTGCCATTCAAAACCTCACTTGACCCTCAACATAGTCCCAAGGTCATTTCAAGCTATAGATGTTAGTGATCCATGATGTTAACATTATCTACAGATATGCTACAAAACAGTTTGGCCATGATTTTTTTTCAATATGTACTGTATGATATGGATGGTAGCCTGAATTATCTATTAGTTTGAACTATAACCATACTTGGTGGTATGTGCAAAAAATAATAACTAAAGATCATACAAACGGAATCTACATATAATTTTTTAAAATACCTCAAGGAAATATTAATATTATAATGATCCTACAAAACATTAAGTGATGTTTGCTAGTGGGGAATCAATCGTTTATGGCACTCTTTTTCTCTTTTCTTTTAACCGTTTTCTATGGAACTCATTTTTTAAATTTTTTTTCTATGGCATTCATGTTAATTCTTTTCTTACGTTTTGAACTATAACTGGCTAAGGGTCACAGGTGGCGCCTTGTAGAGATTGATGCTGATCTGTCAAATTTGGCCCGAGAGACAAAGCATGTAATCTCTCTGATAAATCCTGCAAAAACATACATGGTGCGTATAAAATGTTTTCTCTTTAGGAATAACTTATTTGGGATGTTGGCTTTTAATGAATGTGATTCACTTGTGGTTGATAAATGGAAGGCTCTATTCTTTTCTTGTTAACATGATCAGACATGGAGTCCATAACACTAAAAGAATAGAGCCTTCCATTTATCAACCACAAGTGAATCACATACACTGTAGCACCTTTGGTTCAGAAAAGTGAATCATATCAAAGGTGGTACAATGTATGTGATTCACTTGTGGTTGAGAAAAGTATAGCATGCTGATGATGTGTAAGCTATGAAGCAAAGCATCTATTATTTATTTGCACTATTGATGGAGAATGAACTATAGTATGGAGCTGAACTTTCAGGCAGAACTACAATTCATCTCCATCATCTATCATGAGAATGCACGGGAGTGCTCGTCCTATGGATTGTACAACATACACATCATGTGGGTGTTGTACTTTCCCTTTAACATCTACATGGGTCATATGAAACTTTTTTTCTTGTTAGGGCAAATTATTTGGTAAATGTATTTTTAAAGATCTATATGAGAAATTATCCTATAATTATGTATAACCATAGCCTATGATGTCATCATTATCCCTTGAAATGATGATGGTGATAGGGGTTGGTATCTTTTCCTTGCTAGTTAGTTTGGGGTTTGTGCAGGAACCCCAGACATTGTATTAATTTAGAAATTGTATATTGAATTTGGATTACAATGATTACAATATATATATATATACCAAGTCTAATACTTCACAATATATATATATATATATATATATACCTAACTCTAGTACTTTGAAATCCTTCTAGGCTCCACTATTGTGGTGCTTTTTGAGCAAAGGGATTCTCACTCAACTAATGTACTTTTACGAAGAAGATTCCTCATATGTTTTGTGAGAATTTCGCTCCTTTCCTCTCTTGAGTTCTAATGAGTTTATGATGCTTGAAATTTTTTGCCAGGGTATCTTCAATCTTCTTTCTCTTTCTTAAGAGTTCCCTCCTGTCATATTCATTATGTCAATTGGTTTTCCATAGAATCCCCTCAAAAGCATCTTGTGGTTGTTGTCTGGTGTTATCTAGTAGTGCTACATGTACCACCTTTAGGTCCTAATGTCCCACTCTCTGAGTGATAGTGGGACATTGGGACCAAAAATGATCCCACATTTTGATGGAGGCTAGGACATTGGGACCCAAGAATGGGACCATGTGATGTTCTGGTGGGTCCGACTCTCGCTTTATCATCGTGTATCATTTCAATGGATGGTGATGACCCAATGGACTCTAGTTTTTCTATAGCTTACTGGGTTATGATATACTTTCTGTTTGAATCTTCTTAGAAGATAAAGTTGTATTCCCCTTGTTACTGAGGTAATGCTCCTTGAACTTCAGGATTTGAATATCGGGATTGCATTGTGGTTGGCAGCTGGTGGAGAAGGCTGGGTAGATGAAGAGACCTGCAATAATTATGAACGAGTGAAGTATAAATCAGAGGCTAAGATACTCTTTGTTGGGTCTGGAGCAGATGAGCAATGTGCTGGCTATGGTAGACATAGGACAAAATATAGACAAGGCGGGTATGACTTCTTTTTGAGTTTCTTTTGCTAAATGATAGACATGAGGCATCTAATTCTTGTGAATCAAACTCTTTTTGGAAAATTTACCATGAGACATGTTTTTGCTCATGGGGGACTATACTATGATCCAATGGACTTGGAAAGTTGTTGTCCATTGGGATAATTGTTGTCTAATTAAATGATGGATGCCGATGGAGGAAGCGCCAACCAACAGAATAGGACATGACCCTAGTGGTGGGTCCACTCTCTATCACCCTGCATTATTTCACTGGATGGTGATGACTGAAATGGACCATAGTTTTCAATAGTCCATTTGTTTGGTATATTTTCTGTTCACTAACATCCCTTTTTTTTTTCCCCCACAAATCTATGTTTGTTGGAACTCTTTTGGACATGTCTTCCCCTTACCAAACGTTTGAGTTTCTAGGACTGGTAAGGAATGGTGCGGGCATACTGTTAGAAAATCAATCCGATGTGCACAGCTGAACAGAACATCAACTGGACTCCGAGTTAGATGCCTTGTTGTTCAACACTCCTCTCCTTTACCACTCGAAGCAGAAAATTATGAACGGACTACCTTCTTTCCACTACTTTCCACAAGCAAATCGGAGAGGAACGATCACCATGATTAGGCAATCCAGGCAATTACAAGACTTACCTGAATCTTTCCACATTGTTGATCCTCAACCAAGGCGAAGCTCTCAAATACTCCATAGAACGCAACCATGAACAACAAGGATCAGTGGTGAGGAGCAACTAACTATACTTGACTCTCTTTCTGTCTCTTTCTTTAAGGGTGTCTCTCTCTCAAGGAGACGATATGAGGGGATCTCTTTCTCTTACAAGCTTCTGTTGTTGTAGTGAATTCTCCTTATTGTGTCTGAGTTGTTGGTGTGTTTGTAGGTTGCCTCTCCAATTCGACATATGATCCTTAGAGTCTCCATAACGATATTTCAACTCCCCTGATTATGTTGAATATCTTTGGAGACTTTCCATCTTTGTAAGATGGTCCGGATTTAATTAGTGACTATATGATTCCTTAGGACCAAACAAATCTTATGGATTATGGAGACTTTCCATCTCCATAAGATGGGGCTATGGATCTTCTAGAGACCGCATATCTACGTAGGCCATTGCTCTCCTCATGAGTAGGACTCGTGCTCATGGTATGACTAAGGATACCATATGCTGACACATTTCATTAAAGTCAAAATCAATGTTGTTAAGACTCGGATTCGGCCTCCTAGGTGGCTGGGTGGGGTGCCTAGTTCGCTAGGTGGCCCATCCAGGAAGGTGGGGCTCTAGGCTCCATAAAGGGTGTTTGAGGGGTTGGGTTTGAAATGAAATTCCCCAAGTTGATTTTACTATGTCAAAAACCATTTTTCACAGAAATACAAATAGAAAACATTGTCTAAGTCCCCTTAAATTTACCCATTTCAATCAAAAGACAAGTTAAAGACCACTAAACTAAAACAATGTGCTAAGATTGGTTATAGTAAAATGCCACTAAAGACAAACGAAAACTCAGTCTTGAATATTGGCCACAAATCCAAAGTTCCATAAATAAACTTGAAAAAAGAAATACAAGAACAAAAACCAAATAAGCGAAATAAAAAGGACAAAAATGACATTCATATTGTCAAAAGTATTACTATGTGGAGGAAGAGAGAGATGAGAGGGAGGCGTGAGAGAAAAGTGAAGAGAGAAGGAAGAGAGAGAAAGTGTGTGAGGGAGAGAGAATAGGGACAGGTTGCTAGAGGAGGTCAGTCTCTTTATTAAATCACCTCCACTCACTTTTCATTCTTATTTATAAGAATTAAAACTTTACAAACTATAGAAATGTCCGTGTGTGTAACCCCTTAATGAAACTAATGTCCTCAAGTTATAAAAAAGACAAGAATGCCCCACAACCTACAGAAAACTTATAGACAAAAGAATCTAATCTTTAACATTCCCCCTTAAGCTGGAGCTTAAATGTCAACCATCCCCAGCTTGGAACAAATCTACTAAATCTGGTTACGACAAAGAGCCTTGGTGAATATTCTGCAAATTGATCCTTTGACTTCACATATGAAGTTTTATGTGATTACTAGCTATACTCCTGAAGAAAATTACAATCCACCTCAATATGCTTTGTTCTCTCAAAAAATACAGGATTTCTAGCTATATGAATGACTACCTGATTATCACAGAACATCTTCATCAATTTAGTAACTGGGAATCCCATATCCTGCTTCAACTTTTTTCAGCCATGATAGATCACATGTAGTGTGATCCATTGCTCTATATTCAGCCTCTGCACTCAACCTAGCTTCCACACTGCTTCTTGCTCTTCTTGGTTGCCAAATTTCCTCCAACAGATGTATAATTGCGTGTAGCAGATCTTGTCTGATAATGATCCTACCTAATTAGCATCAGGATTAGCTCTCAATTCTTAAATCGCTATTATTCCTATAGATAACTTGTCAATTTGGATCCTCCTTAAGATTCATATGATCCTCCTTACTGCCTCTAGTTTGGTGTCCTGGGAAAATACATGAACTGACTCACCACACTCACAACAAAAGCTATGTCGGCCAAGTAATGATCAGTTAGATAAGTCTACCTACAATCCTTCTGTACCATCCTGGATCTTCAAATAAATTTCCTTGATTCGTTGATAGTTTAGTACTTCAATCTCTAGGTGTATCAACTAGCTTAGCACCCAACATACTTGTTTCTGTCAACAAATTTGTTACATATTTTCTTTGAGACAGATTAACAACATACTTGGATTAGGCTACTTCATTTCCAAGAAAATGCCTTAGCTGTCCCAAATATTTTGTTTGAACATAATTCATTCCTAATCGCTCTATGTAATGATGATATTGTCATCATAGACCACCAAAAGAATTACATGGTGGGTTTTCTCTAGATAAATATCGAATGATCCATATGGATCCTGGAATTGTAATGAAGCTATGATAATTTCGCTGAACTTCTAAAACCATGCACGTGGGGATTGCTTCAGATTATAAATGACTTTCTTCAACTTGCATACCTTGTCTCACTCCCCCTAAGCAACAAACCCCTGTTGGTATCAAGGCTCGACAATCTATACGGATGGTACTGTAGCAGTGTACAAACAATATTGTAGCACTATACGGACAGCACAATAGCGCCATTTGTGCCCTAGAACAACACTTATGCCTCCACGTAGAGGAAAAGCGGCAACCCTAGAAACCTTTGATACTAGTTTGCGAGAAGGGAATTTGAGGAGATTGGTTGAAACTATCTGCGTTTGGCGTGGATGGAAGCCTTGTCTCAGGAGCATGATATCGAGGCAGATGAGTCGGTGACCAAGTTGGTGTCAGACAGGTCAAATTCATGTTGTGATCCCAGTCAAGAGTTCGGTGTACAACATCATCATCCTACACATGAAATCAATGATGAATCTGGTGGGTATTTTGGAACTCTATTCGAGGACAACTATGGAGAAACGTTGTTTTTAGTAAATGGTTCTTAAGATCAGCACGTTGTGGATTGGAACTCACTACCAGTATTTGACAAGTACCTGGATAAAGATTTGGGTGTTGAGAAAGAAGTGGGTGATCATAGCTTTAGTGGTGTTTGAATCTGTAAAGAGGATTAAGAAGAAGATGCTACTATTGGAGGGGATTTTTTGGGTTCTCCTATTCTTAATGAAGAACAGGGTGGATGTCAAGGAGTTGTTCCCAAAATATTTGAGGTATTTGGTTCCTTAATCCTTAGAGAAAGTAGCGAGGAGAATTGTGTTGATAGAGGTAATGGTGATGAATTGCTCATCTTGGAGTTTTACCTGAACTTAGGGTGTCACATAATGTTCATACCCTAGAGTTCAAGGTATTTTCTTCTGAACTCTTAGCTGGTGAGTTTAACACAACATATGCTCACCATAGGGTTGAATCATTCTCTTCGAGAGAATTCAGGCTGAGTTGTCGCTCTGCTTTGATGGAAGAACCAAATTTGTTCCTTATCATCTTCCCCGAAAACCTAAACCTAAGGGGGCCTAATATTTGCATCCCGACCTCACCAAATTTAGCAAGAACACGCCTTAGAGTTCAAAGTTTTTCTTGCATCCCTAAGAGAAGAGTTTTCCTTAGGTTTGTTTATGATTGATAGTGTTGCGCATTTGTATCTCAGCAGTTTTAGTTTTCAATGTACACAAACGTGATGGATAAGATGTTTATGAGAGGCACCATGACTGGGAAAACATTGCTCTCTAGTTATTTTGAATTGTATATCTTTAAGGTTGAGTTACAATGTTTATGAGAGTTGAAAAACTTTGGGTTTGGTCTTCTCAATTTGCCCTTGCAAGTATTGCTGCATCAAAGTGGTGTAATGGAAGATTAGAGAGTATGGAAGTTGCTAAGCATATCCATGCTAAAGCTTTGAAACATGGGTATGGTTGTACTCGTTGGACTAGCTTTGCACTCTCATCAGTTCATTAGAAGATTGGCAAGCTCCTTGTGGCGCATTCAATGCTCAATCTTACAATCATAAAGGTGAGATTTCCTGCAAAGTTATTTTGAATGGATATCTGTAATGATGTATGATTATAAGTGATTCAAGACTCTTCTCTCCTATACATGTTCATGGTTCTAGACCAAGTTGTTCTGAATATTAAGTTGAGCCAGTGCAAGCTTGGACCATGTGAACTGGTGCAAAAGATTAATGTCAATGGCTACAAATTGAATCTTCCTAGCCATATTTGCACTTCTGATTTTTTTTAATGTCAAGCATCTCATTCCATATCGTGGTGATACCTTTGACGACGAGCCACTGAATTCGAGAGCTATCTTTTGAGGAAGGGGGGGACTGATGCAACCCAGAATACTGTTCTCGAATATCTAGATAAAAGAAACATGCTTAGCGTTTACAAGAGGAACGCAGAACTGCAAAGTAGTCATTAAATCTGTCCTTTTATGTTTTTTATTTATTTTTTGAGTCATTTTATTTACTTTGGGGCATAAATAGTAATTTCTAGAGTGTTTTATTTTATTCACTTCAAGTCATTTTATTTATTAAGTCTTGTTTAGAGTTTTCTTATATAAGAGATGTACTCAAGCATAATGAAGCATCTTGTAATGGACTGTACTAAAAACCCTAGAGCAACCAATGCTCCTTTTTTCTCCGGTTTTTTTATTTTTCTCTAATTTAGGATCTTCCCTATCTTCTTCTTTGCTAAACCTTAGCTCCAAGCTACTAGGTCTGCACCATTTAATTTATTTTGGATACGGACAATGTGGATGTTTCATTTTAATTTGTCTATACTGTTATTCATAACTCCATGAGGTGGAATTATGGTGGCCCAAATAGGAAGAGATAGGATGATCCATTTAGCCGAAGAATTCTTGCCTTTATCCAAAATAGAATTACTATATATAGATGGAAAGTCAACTAGAAAGCCTGCCTTGTGGCCAAAAGTGCAACCAGTCTTCTGGACATAATATTTTGATATTTGTTGTGCATCATTTAATGAGGTTGCCTCTTTGTATATTCTGATATAAGATATACTCTCACTGCTAGTATTTGTTCTCATATAAATCACAAACAATTACTTGCTTTCACCAATTTATGCGAGAGGTTAAAAATCAGTAAAGCAAGAGATCAAGATCCTCAACAACTGATCAAAGGGAAGATATTTACTAAGTTATTTGCGAAGCTCTATGAAGATAAGGGAATCTGTGGATTGGAAAATGTTCTATACTCTACAGCAAACTGGTGTT